AAATTTAAACCGTAAATCGGAAATATTTAACCATTACTATATGTCGAAGAACTAAACAAAAAATTAAAAAACAGCAAAGTTATAATTTTTTTTCATTTATTTTTCCGATTGTTCCTATGGGAGCTATATGCTATAGTCGTCCGATCCGGCTCGTTCCGACTTATATACTACCTGCAATAGAAAGACAACTTTTGGGAAAGTTTCATGCAGATAGCTTTAAAACTGAGAGACTAGTTCGCATATAAACGGACGGACAGACGGACAGACGGACAGACGGACAGACGGACGGACAGACGGACGGACAGACGGACATGGCTAGATCGACTCTACTAGTGATGCTGATCAAGAATATATATACTTTATAGGGTCGGAAACGTCTCCTTCACTGCGTTGCAAACTTCTGACTGAAATTATAATACCCTCTGCAAGGGTATAAAAACTACAAAAATGTTGAGGATTTCCATATGCTGCCAAATCTCTGCTGGCCATTTTGCCACAGAAACACATTCAAATGCATTCGAAAATCACCGAAGAGATGGCCAAGTCATGCTTAAGTTTAGAAACATTGGCCCCAGACCATTACTTGGATAACCATTTGGGGAAAAGACAGGAAAGTCATTAACTTTTAATTCGATCGTTTATAAGCGCAGTGCCAGATTTCCCAGCAGATGCATTTGGAAATGCAAATCTGGCTTGAGAGGGACCGAGAGCTGATAATTGTGGTGCACCAATAAAAAGCGAATTAAGCTAATTGCCAAATTTTCGAAATCCCCAAAAACAATGGCAATGGAAAGCATCAGCAGAACAAAGATGGCAAAAAAGTAACATAAAGCCGAGAGAGTAATGAAAGTGGAGCAAAATGCGAAACTGCTGCAGCGGGCGCACATGTTGCCAAAACTTTGCTACCCTTCCATTTAATTCCCCAACGTCTGAATTTCTCTAAGAGTACAAAAGAAGTGTAAGTACAGCCAAAAATTGATAACACACAAAAATGGCAAAGAAAACGTGCTCACTGGGACCTCAGCCAGCGTGTGTAATTAAAGCCTTGACTTAGAGATTGGATGGCTGATGTTTGGGTCTATGAATTGGATATCTGGTCTGTGAAAGTAGGTCAGGCGTATAGTGTAATTAACCTAATTGATGCGGCATAAAGTATATTCAAAATTTCGAATGCAAATCGCCACTGTTTGTTTACGCATATGGACGTTTGATCGGAGATTAAAGGCCTTAAACCTAATTGAACAACATATAATAAAACTACTTGCGAGAATACACCAAAACGTTATAAACTATTATTATTTTTACTGTTATTACGAGAATAAATGCATACTCATAAAAGTAGAAACCGCCATGCACTTCAATTTTGTCTAATTATATAGCGAGGTACACGAACGTTATCTTTCTCCACAACAGATTTCCGGTTATTTTCATCAAATTAAGCAATTTACCGGATTGCAGCACAGCTGACGTTTGTACTCCAAATGTCTATGCAGAAATACATTGGTATGCATGATGTAAATGTACACGGTTGAGGGTAATTACTCCTAAGTGGGCTATTTAACTAAGGACCTTATACTCGACATACGCAGGCATGAGTGAACGTAATTCAAGGTATTAGGCAAGAGCCAAAAACAATGCTTATGCCTGGGACCCTGAAAAAAGGCAATTATAAGTGTGTTTGGACGTGAAGTGTATGTGTTAGATATCAAATATTTAAAACACAACGTTCCGGTAATAAAGCTTGGCCTGTCCCAGCCCGATTCCCGCCGGTGCCCTCGTTACTTGTACCCCCTATCTCTGTCCTTTTGGCCTGTCATTGAAAATGAGTGTAATTTATGTATTAGCGTGTGCTCGTGTGTGTGTATGCCAGCCGCATAATAAAACATGCAAAAATATGCAAATTGCCGCAGTCAACGCGATGAACTTTCATTACGCCTTGTTCCCGACGCTCTAAAGAGCATTTTCCGCTTCCCTCGACTGGCCCAGAAAATCGATTAAGTCACTTAAAGAGTTTATCGAACTTTATGCCGCCCCAGTCAGAGGCAGCGAAATCGTTTTGAAATTGTGCAAGTCGACCAAGACTTTTTGAGAAGCGCCTAGAGAGGCCCATCGAGCGAAAGAGACAGGACGATGTGCATAATTTTTGCACGCTAGATTGTCATTTAAAATGAGTTAAGCCCGGGCAATTGCTGCAATGCGGAAAAGTTCCCAAAGCCTCGGTCTGAGACGGATTTTGAGTTCGAGTCCTGCTCCGTTGGACGTGGATCGTCAGGTAAAACTGGCGTTATAATGAGCAAACAATAAAAGCAAACGTCCTCGCTGCACGAAACAATGACGAGAAAGAAAAGGACAGGACACAGCGGAAGGAGGGAGACGGGTAGAACACACACAAACAAAAACCAATTAGATGCAACGAGGACGGCGAAGGCCAAAGGTGCCAGCTGCAACTTTTCGTGTCCTGTCGATGTTGCGACAGGTCGACGGGTCGACGGGTCGATGTCTGGGGGCTGGTCCTATTGTGCAGCTTGTTAGCGAAGGCCAAAGAAACCAGCTTCGGTCCGACAAAAAACTTACTCCCAAATAAAACTACAGCAATGACAACCTTCGGTCGCCATGCTAATTGCAATCTCATTGTTAAATACGCGCATTTAAGCAAAACCTTTTTTATTTTCATAGGAACACAAGCTTTAAAAGTCGGAATTTAAATCTTTCGCTTAAATAAAGATTATTCACAAAAAAAATTATATTAAACTTAGCTTCAAACGTAAAAGTTTTAATAAAGTCAATTTTCTAAACAAAAGTGTAGCTCTGGGTGAAACTACACATAGGAAATATGCATTTACTTAAATAGTTCTAGTTTGGTTCTAAATAGAGCCTACATATGTATTTTTATTTTAAACTGAGAACGCTTAGGATGAAATAAGCTTAAAAAACAAATTCCTGAAAATGATGAAATTGCTAGTGATTCCCTGTTGAAACTCGTTTTTATACACATGAAAAGAGTCAACATCATCTAATCAACTCCTTAAAAACTTGTTGGCTTTTCTATTACACTCCTTTGCTGGCGTTCGTTTAAAATTCCTTAACGCTTTCCATTTTTGATATATTCAGAAATAAATTTGATGACTTTGATTTAAGATCCCTACCCCATTAACTCCACTTGGAAAATTGTTTTTATTGGCCGTTAGCCCCACCTGTACCACGTCTGCTATTTTAGCAACCCTCTTCTGTGCCCCTGTTGTGGATGATTTTTTGGTACTTCCCCGCTTTCACTTTTCACTCACCGCGTGACTTTTACAGCCTCTTAATTTAAGCACTCGCCTGCTGAAGTATCAGAGGGTTTCCTGTGGGGCTACTGGGAGCTGTGTTCGGCGGGGGTGGTGGTAAAAATTAATTTGTTGCAGACGACGCTTTTAATGTGGCTTTTTGTTAAATTAATGTAGCTCTAGCTAGTCACTCGTTTCGAACGAGCCCTGTGCTTATTTTGCCGCTCACGTTCCTGTCACGTAATTCCCATTTTCCATTCCGCGTTTTCAGTGTACCTGCCACGCCCACATGCCGGGCTGTAAATTTGATAGATTACTGGGCGGCCATCCGTTGTAGGCCAACCCTGAAAACACGACCGAAAATCACAAAATGCGCTCAACTTTGTAAGGCCATCATCATGAAATTCTATTGAAATGTAACCCATCGCTCAACTTAAACATGTAATTTTCGACTATAGAATTGCGGAAATAAAAACGATTGCTTCTTTCGTTCTAGATAGCTTTATTCATATTTATTTATTATTCATATTTATTTTACATATCTTAAGCTTAGTTTGTTATGAAGAGTTTTCAAACATGTTGGTAAATGAACAACAACGTTTAATGATTTACTTAGGTATTTGTTTATATTAAAACAAAATTTAATTGTGTGTTTAGTTTGTACATTTAATTCTTATTTATTTATTAAAAAATTTGTGTTATTTTAACGATTCAATAGTGTTTTGTATTACGTTTTCGTCAATTTTAATCACTAGCTGATTTACTTTTGTATAACAAAAGGGGAAAAGAAAAGTTTGAAGGAAAGTTTGCTTTATACTTTTACTTTTTTTTTTAATCTAAGAAAAACAAACAAAACGATTGGGCGATTAATATTTTGGCATCCAAGCGATAAGGCTTTTCTCTTTAAAAATATGTGTGGATCTATCCTGTCGCATCGAGCTCTTGATGATTGCATTGCCTTGAGTCCCGTCGAGTTGTGTGCATGGAGTTGCTGAGATTTCGATGCCGACAGCAAAGCCATTTCCGGCCAGACAATAAGCGGGGCGCTCGGAATTTCCGTTTCTATTGTTCGGGCTTGATTCTGTTTTTCCATATTTATTTCACTAGCTGTCTTTATTTTATTGCTGGCAAGGCTCAGCAAGGACAAAGCGAAAGCCAAAGCCAAAGCCTCTGACAAGCGCGAGCCAATTCGCTGCACAAACAGATTCAAAAACAACAAAATAAAAACAAGAAAATCTCATTTATCTTCTCAATGTGGCCGCTGGCGAATTCAATGCCATCCAAGAGGACATGTCAAACTTTTCCCCTCAATGTTGTCGTTTAGCTTAATGGAATTTGTCGCTAACATCTAGTCCGCCAACAGAACGTATGTGTACTGACTTTTGCTTGAATAACAGCAGTTGATAAATATTTTATATTACTCCAGATGTATTTTCTTTAATGCATTATAAATGCGCTTGCTGAGATTTGTGAAGATAATTGAAACAAAAGTGTGTTTTTTTATGAGGTAATTGAATCACTCGTAATTGACATTTATATGTGATATTTTATTGTTGAATAAAGGCATTTTAAAGAAGAAAATTTAACCAAATTACTATACGTAATTGACATTTATATCTGATGTTTCATTGTGGCTACTGTTATTGCTTAAATAAGATTTTGCTTAAGTATGTGGGTATGCCCTATGGACTTAAATTTTACTAAACTTGTTCACTTTTACCCTTTTTTTTGCAGACAATGAACTTTATTCTGGGACCGTGGCGGATTTCAGCGGCAGCGATCCGATTATCTACCGTGAGCCCCTGCAGACGGAGCAGTACGATAGCCTAAGTCTCAATGGTAAGTTACTGGGCGCGATTGTGGCCACTTGTGGTAATTGAAAATGTCATGGACCCTGTCAGGAAAGCTGGCGCTTTCGTTTTATAAGCGCAGTGCGAGTGCGAGTCCTGGTTACCCATCCCCATTCCCATCCCCATTCCCAATCGCCTTCCATGATTGTCGGTGTCCTGTCGAATGTCAGTTTACGATGGCGCGCGATTGCCTTTTGCATATTTCAAGGGCCTTCCTTGGCCATGTTCAGCTTCCATTAACTGAATCTGAGTCCGAGCCGACATGGCACGTTCGACTGTCATTTACCACTAAAGATGTGCGACAGAATTCAAAATTTATAATAAATAGCCCATAGGGCCAATATTGGCAACTATGACTCGGGGGTTTTGCTGGTCGAGCTATTTAGAGCCATTAAAAGAGGTCCTGAAATAAATGGCTAATTGAATTTATTACTTTTAAGACAATTTATGCCTATGACTTTTTATAGGCATAGGTAGGTATCAGTAATTTTCAACATAAATTTTGACTGTTTAAATCTGAGGCATATTTATATTATTTATATTATTTATTTAAATCTGATACATATTTATGGCTAAGAACAATTAAATGCTTTAATTCTAACATTTATATTATATATATATCTACTATGATGACATGGTTTTTGTACACCTTGCCATTAACCTGATGTCATCTAGGAAACTACTAAATTTTAATTTAAACATAAAACCCAAAAGATAACTTACATGTACACCCTCTATCGCCTAATATGTGCATATGAATGAAACCATAAAATCAAAATTACCGCTGATGTCGTATAATACTCGCAAATACGCACACGCGTACATCATAAATTCATGAAAATTTACAATATTTGAGAACAGACAGCCATAAAAGTGTTTACAATCTCGAAAACTATAAATGAATTTGATGACCAAACTTTCTCCCAATTTTTTGTTTCGCAGCGCCGAACTTTGTAAGTTCATTTACGCAGGGAGACTTTGTCTATTTCTTCTTTCGGGAAACCGCTGTGGAGTTTATCAACTGCGGCAAGGTGAGTACACACACACACGAGAAGCGGGTTTTCCAATCAATTTGGCCAGCACCAACAGATGCAATCAAACGCAACAGAATCAAATACAAACAAAGTCGGACAAAATAACTGCTGATGTTCGGTATTTTCCATCGGTTTATTGATGCTTCGCAGATTGTCGCATTAGTTTGTCCTCGAAATCTAGAGAATTGCTGGCCGCAAGCTGAGCAGTATTAATATCTTATCCTTGCTTGTTCCTTTCAGGCGATTTATTCGCGAGTTGCCCGTGTCTGCAAGTGGGACAAAGGTGGCCCGCATCGTTTTCGCAACCGCTGGACATCCTTCCTCAAGTCCCGCCTCAACTGCTCCATTCCGGGCGATTATCCGTTCTACTTTAATGAAATCCGTAAGTACTCGTTTAAAGCAGCGAATCTGCACTGTGAATATGCCTCAAAAAACAGGCTACAGAAATCACTGGGATTTTGAAAAAATGTATAAAGGTATATCTAAAAGTACTATACCATATGCAATATAATTTGCGTCCGTTAGTCTGAGAAATGTATTAAAAAAAGACGTCGTTCCTATTTATTATTGCTTATTTATGACACCTTAATTAATTATTTCAACGCCCTGGTGATTTCCGTAACATCATTATAAATAATAACTACACTGGTAAACAAAAAACGTGGTAAATCCAAATATTTTCTATTCATCCACTGCGGATTTTAGTTATTTTAAATATGAAAACATTAAATAAAATTATAATTCTTAATTTGCCTTTTTTCGGATTTGATTTAAAACTCTGAAAATTTAATTTAAACTGAGAGCATATAAAATTTATTTTAATTAAATAATTAACTTAACTTAAATTTTTAATATTTAATCATGTAATTTAATATGCAATGTATTTAGTATTATGATTTCAGATATTTATTTTTACTGTTCCATATTTTTATCAGTGCAGTTAGTTTTCTTAAAAAAATATCCACAAATAAAAACACAATTTAAAACTATTGATTACCTTTTATGAAACTACATAGCATTTAATTGAGTGTTGCTTAAACTAAATTAACTGTACACAGCGGTCATTATTTCTTTGAAAGCAACAGATTTCAATTTAATGTTAATTAAACAATTGTATATGAGAAAAAAAGCTTGATGAAGGCATCAATCTTTTTTAATATATTTTCAACAAACAGATTTTTTTGTATGTAGATAATATGATAAATACAAATATATGTATTTAATTTATTTGTCACACCCAGAATCGGCCAGCAACCTGGTGGAGGGACAGTATGGCTCGATGAGCTCGAAACTGATCTACGGAGTCTTCAACACGCCGAGCAACTCGATTCCCGGCTCAGCGGTTTGTGCTTTCGCCCTGCAGGTGAGTTGGCTGCCACAGAATTGTTTCCTGAAATGGAAAATTAAATTTCGGCCCTTCCCTTTTGCATTTCTCATCTCCGTCCGCAGGACATAGCCGATACGTTTGAGGGCCAGTTCAAGGAGCAGACCGGCATCAACTCCAACTGGCTGCCAGTAAACAATGCCAAGGTGAGTCCTTACTGTAGTCCTTAAGCGCTCAAATTCCATCCCTAAGTTTCTGGCGACCGCACTCGAGCACATCTGTGGCCTGGCAATTTATGACTTATGGCCGGCGTGCCATAAAAATGTATTTTACGTTTGGCACAAAATTTGCATTTGCATCTCTCGAATGCTTTTGCCAATTTCCAGCAGATGACTGCACATGTCGCCATCGATTTGCGTTTTGGCCTCATTTGCCACAGAGTTCTGCGAACGCAAAGAAGTTTTCAAACCCTAAAAGAATTTGTGTCTTAGAAATTACAAATCCCTTTTTTAGGCAATATTTGACGGTAACACATATAGTATTGCTACTATAAGGTTTTACTTTAGTTACTTACTTTGTTAGCAATATGTTATTTACGTTTTGTAACTTGTTCTTTTCTAGGTTCCCGACCCGCGTCCCGGTTCTTGTCACAACGATTCGAGAACGCTTCCGGATCCCACATTGAACTTCATCAAAACACATTCACTAATGGACGAGAATGTTCCGGCATTTTTCAGTCAACCGATTTTGGTCCGGACGAGCACAATGTGAGTAACTGCATTGCCACATATGCACATTGTCCTTATTTCGTTGCTTCGTCACTTCCGTTTCCGGTGGGGAAGATATGAGAGAACTACTGTGAGCACTAAATAAATCCAACTGGACAACTGCGACTGCTTTAGTGGTTGCAAATGGCCAAAAAAATAAATGGGATTTAAAGGAATTAGGAGTATTATGGTTGCGGCTGTCATCACATATTGAATCCCACTATTTTTCAACATAAAAATGAATCCTGCCAAAGATTTGCCATCATCATATATGGGTTCATTTCCTCCATGTTGCACCACCATCTGTTCCACTTTATGGAAATGCGATAAGTTGTTAGTCAGCGCAAATAACCATAAACCGAAGCAACCTGAACTGCAAGTGGAAAGAAATCGGGTGGGTGGTTGCCATAAATTATTTGCCAGCGCCAGAGGGCAACTTTGGCCGGCGGGGGGAGAATTTAAAAATTCAATTTGGCAACTTTTCCATGTAATTGAGCCACAATTATGGCGAATTGTGCCGAGATGTGTGCGCTGGCAAAGCGGTGAAACTTTAAAGAGGGCTAAATCATAGGCGAGCCACTGAGCACCACTTGCTCCAGAGAGGTTACTGGTGCACATTGGGTCAATATTTTTCATATTTATTGTACTAGATGTGAAAATATGTAAGTGAAAGATTTTAAATTATGGTTTGGTATTTGTTACCACATACTTTTTATAAAAACCGAATTTTTTTGTTGAGAGGTTATTAGAAATCTTAATGAGGGTTTAATTTTTAGAATCCTAAAATCAAATTAAATTAAATTTCAAACTCTCATAAACAATTAAAAAACAAAACAATATATATAAAATTAGTTACAAGTCAATAATAAGGAGACAAACAACGTAAGACTTTAAAGCCTGAAAACATTTTTTGGTTTACAACGCTGTCTTAGAAACATATTGAACACATTGTCAATTATAAATTCTTATTATTAAAAAAATATATCAAAAGTTTAAAAAAATTCATAAACTTCCAAATTTGTGTGTTTTTAAAAAAAAGTTAATTACATTTTATTGAAATAATGTATTCAGTAATATTTTAGACAAACCAAGTTAAGGCATTCAGCACTATTTTAACTATCTTGAAACACATTTTCTGGTCAAAAGAGCAAAGAATCATAGCATATATAAAACCAAAACTGGGGATTACTCGATTGAGTTCAAAAGCTCATTGTCAAAATGATTTTTGGCAGCTGCAGTAACCACTGTGGAGCTGTGCGGTGGCACAGGTGGTGGGGCAGCTGCAGTTGCCTTTGCCTTTGCGATAGTTTGAAGCAAACGAAGCGAGCCAGCCAGAAGGAAATGCATGGATGCGCCGAGGAGGCAACCCGTAACGAAAATATGTATGCACAACTGAATAAATTAGAATGAAATATGGAACACGTAGCAACAACGCAGTCTGCGGACCACCTCCTGCCGCTCCTTCGCATCCGTATCCCCATCCCCATCCGCATCCGCATCGGCATCCCTTCCACATCCGCACCCACGGAACATTTTGTGTGCCACATGAGCACACCACAACAAATGTGTGGAGTGGGTAATGTGGGTGAAGTGGGGCAGCCACTTTCTGCAACTGACTCATTGCTTTTTGGAGGAATGGAACAACGGATGCTCTGCCCGAGGACGCGGGCGTGCATCGGAATTTAATCAAGACCCCGGGACACTCAATTGAAAGCCATAAAAATGCGCAAAAGTTACTTTAGTATATATTTTTTTTTTTAGCTCAGCTATTCTCTTATGGCAGTCCGTCAGCTATATGACTTTCCCTCGACTTAAATCCCCTTTGCCTTGAATTGTGATTTAATATTCGAAATCACGATTAACAGTCATTGTCAGGTCATTAATCAATTAATTAACTGGGTCATAAAGTCAATACTTAATCACCTCCGAGGATGTGGGCAAACGCAGATTCGCTTAATTTATGATTTTCACATGCAGCTAAAGTTGCAGTGCTATTTTATTTCGAAAGGCAAGATTATTTGGCAATCATTGAACTAGGTAAAAAAATATTAATTGCACATTCAAAATAAGGGATCACAATATTTAATTTTCTGAATTTATGCTCAGTATTTTTTTTTATTTAATTTTGGTATTCACAAACTACTTTTATACTTTTACTCCACTGTATTTCTTTGGTTTCTGTCTGCAGTGGTAAAACTTTCTTCACTTTTGACACATCTTTAACAGCTTAGCGGCCTTTGAGCCAGGTCAAGCTAGTTGCGTTTGGGAAACACATTTATCATATTTTCGATTTCGATTCGAAAAACACGCATAAATTATTCTCGAGCTGATACCAAAACGACATAACGCAAAAACGAGGCCGTCGATTTGGTAGTCTGGATAATGTGGAGGGATTTATTGAACGCAAATGACAAAATCAAATCAAAAATTCTCCGGAATTTATGGCATTTTGGGCCAAAACATAAATTTATAATAATTTCGTTTTGGCCTGGCCATCCATTTCCGCTCCTCGAGTGCCAGCTGCCCGTTTGCGGCAGGGCTTAAATAAATCTGGGAAAGAAGCAGTTGATTTGCATAGTGGGCTGGGAGTCAGTGGTTAAAGTTTGGCCCAAGTTGAAAGCCGTACTTGGTAGCAGCATCTCGACAAAAGTTGAATGTTCCAGCCAGTTCGGGTTCGGTTCTGGCTCAGTTACAAATTGTTTCCTGACGCAGACCGGAAGCATCCCATATTCAACCGATGTCTGCCAGCTGGCTGACCATATCCCGTCTGCATCTTCCAGTCCCAAGGTATCGCATTGTCCTTAACGTGTTCTTATCGCTTTCACCCTGCTCAGCCTGCTCCATTTGCGAGGTGGTGAATTGGGCTGTAAGGGGTCGACCAATAACGACTAACTTCCCTCCATATTCTTCTACCGACTCTGCTGTCATCATACAAAAGTTGGCAACATTTTTGCAAGTTTCAATTGCCAGAACTTTGGACTTTGACCCGTAGGTCGTGTGCCCCTGTCCTATTCAAATATTTTTGTTTTCCTATTTTGAATTTTCGTGCCATCCGTAGGCAGTTCAAAATACTTTTTAGCATTATTTTACAATTTTTTTTCAGTTCTAGTTGATTAGTAATTGAAAAACTATGGTTGCTATATTGACTTTAAGCTGCTCAAAATTCATATTTATTGTTAAATATATACAAAATTCGTTTTATCTTTCTAAAATTTAAAACTATAACTATATTTATAAGTTTATTTCCCATTTTCGCAGCTTTAATTTATTTTTAAAGGCTTCAACTGTGAAATGTGTGAAACATTTCCATCAAAAAGCTCAAACTTTATTCTTCGGCATGCCATTCAACAGAGAAAATATTTAATTTGCAAAAAACATTCCAACCTCAACTGAACTGAAATGAAAACTTTCTTTAATGAATTATTCGCACAAATGTTGAACAATTTGAAAATTGTTGCTCCACACAGAGCGAAGCCCCAAAAAACAAGATTAGTTAATTAACAATAAAAAAGCAGAGCAATGGGACATGGAGTGCGCCCAGTTCCCAGCTTCCATTTGGAAGCTTCCATTCCTGCTGCCAGGCATTTGCATTTAAATCGAGGCAGCAGGCATGACAGCAACAATGGACGTGGACCAGGCCACAAATGTTGCAACAACGCGGGTATGGGCGTAGACGGACGTCGTTTTTGCGGTGAAATCAGAGGGAAATTTTCGTTTCGTTTCGTTTCGTTTCGTTTTTATTTCATCTACTTGTGTTTTTGTTGTTGTTCGGAATATGTTTTTTCCATTAAAACACAAACTGTTTGTTGCCATTTGCTGTTGCAGCAGTCGTTGCCGTATGTATCTTATGTTGGCAGTTATGTTGCAATGGTAGTTGTTTGTCGTACTCCACCACTAACCAGTCCTGCCAACCAGCCAGTCAACCAGCCACTTCCATTTTCCCTTTACATCCTGGCAGCGGCGACCATTTTGGCGTCCGTCCATTATTAATGGACATCTAACCGAAATGACAGACGTACGTCCATTGTCAGGAAAACTGGCGAGCACAATGTCGCAAAATAAAGAAAACATTCATTGACATTCTGTCCTTCATTTAGATGCTAACCGCCAGAGTCGTTGATGAAAGCAGAAGAATTACATCAAAATGAGTTCGAATGGGAAAAGTAATTAAGAAGCAAATAAAATATGGACAACAATTTCTTCTTTTTTTTTTTTTTTGAAAATCCTTTGCTAATTTCTTGTGGTCTTTCACAGATATCGCTTCACTCAAATCGCTGTAGATGCACAGATCAAAACTCCAGGCGGAAAGACATATGATGTTATTTTTGTGGGCACAGGTGAGTAGTACAAAAAAGTAACTACTTGTAAAATCTACAATAATACTTTTAACAGATCACGGCAAGATCATCAAGTCGGTAAATGCCGAATCCGCCGATTCCGCGGATAAGGTCACCTCAGTGGTCATCGAGGAGATTGATGTTTTGACCAAGAGTGAACCCATTCGCAATCTGGAGATAGTGAGAACCATGCAATACGGTGAGAGAAACTTTAGCACGGATATCACATAAACGATGGCATTTTTAACACTGCCGTAATTCGCAGATCAACCAAAAGATGGCAGCTACGACGATGGCAAATTAATCATTGTGACGGACAGCCAGGTGGTAGCCATACAATTGCATCGTTGTCACAATGACAAAATCACCAGCTGCAGGTGAGTGTCGACCCGCCCTCGCCTTTTAGCCACCTCCTCCAGACAATGGCATTTTTATTATCATGTAACAATTTGCGTGACTCTCGTGTCGCTTGTCAGACGCTTGACAGCCTCAATATGCAGTATATTCGTGGGGCTTACACTTGTCTTTCTATATTTGCCAATTTCGTCAGACTGAAAAATATGGCAGTGGCTGTAATTCGAAGAGAAACCGCAAAATAGTTTATATTTTTTAAAAACTTACTAGTTCCAATTTAGAGAGATAGTAGTGGAACAACAATTAACATGTCCTTGCGCTTACTGTGTATAATGTATTTATTTTTAAGGTTTATTTATACTTTAAGGTATTTTTACCTGTTAACCTTTTAACACGATTACAAATTACATAAATTGCTATAAAATGGCAAAAAATAAATACTGATATATATAGATTTTATCAGCATCCTTCAGGAAAAAATATTGATAAATATAGCTTTTACAAATTAAATAAAATATTTAAAATCTGTTTTTTTTTTCCTGCCATTTTATAACATTTTCTGTAAATTGAAACACTTTTGAGTACTATCAATTGACTTGTATCTTTTTAAAAGTATAAAATGCCAGGTAAACATTGTGATTACATGGCTAATTAAATTTATTAAAATTGATAAAAGCTATATTTATCAGTATTTTTTCCTGGCATTTCATAACATTTTATTTATAAAAGCTATATTTATTAGTATTTGGCTTATGGCTAATTTAATTTATATAAATTTTTGTTGGTCCCTAAATTTGGCATATTTTTGTCTGAGTGCATGTATTCATCCACAAATTTACTTCTGTTCGCAGTGAGTGCGTCGCATTGCAGGATCCGTACTGCGCCTGGGACAAAATTGCTGGCAAGTGCCGTTCCCACGGCGCTCCTCGATGGCTGGAGGAGAACTATTTCTACCAGAATGTGGCCACTGGCCAGCATGCGGCCTGCCCCTCAGGTGAGTGCCAAGTTCGCCTCGAGTGTGAGAGCAAAGGAGTCTGAGACTGAGGTTACCATGTTCCTTCCGACAGGCAAAATCAATTCGAAGGATGCCAACGCAGGGGAGCAAAAGGGCTTCCGCAACGACATGGACTTATTGGATTCGCGACGCCAGAGCAAGGATCAGGAAATCATCGACAATATTGATAAGAACTTTGAAGGTGATTTACCTAAACGCTTTTCCTGCATACTTTTTTATCATATTTATTTTGCATTCGTTCGTTTTGTATTATGCACGTACCAGCTTGTCACTTTACCCACCAACTCCCCCAACCGGCAACCTTCTACCTTTGCTTTGCTTACTCTCTGTGCACCTGTGTTGTCTACCTTGCAAATCACATTTTCATTTTGTCGGGATTCCCTGGACTGCGACTTCCGGCTTCCACTGCCACTTTATGCCATTTAACTCCCTCCGTAGCTGCTGCCTTGCATTTTATTTAAAGTGAATTCCTTTTTTATGTGCTTCAATTTATTTTTAACCCCGGTACTGGCAAAAACAGTATGTCCAAAATGATAAATACGATTGTTTTTATGCAGAGTCTATCAAGCTTTTGCTTACGGACGTTAGCTTTCTTTTTTGTTGTTTTTAACGTTTGTATAAAATTCTTTGGCTCTTAAAGACTGAGAAAATACCTACAAAGTGGTGGTGAACTTTATCAGTTGGCATAGAAAACGTTTGCTAAAAAAAATATATTTCAAAAAAATGTTTATGGATTTTACGTTGAAATTCGATTGAAAAAGATTCAATGGGATTTTATTCTTATGACTAATTAAATATGAAAAGAATAATTATCGAATAATAATAATAACCAAGTAATTTAAGCTGTTCCAAACGGCACTTTATTTTTCAAATATATTTGCATGCCTATGCTTCTTCATACATCTTTTAAGATATTTACCAATGTTCTTATTTAATATATTTATATTTTTAATTTAATATCATGTTTTTAGCTAATCTTCCAAATATACATTTAAAGTTTTATCCTCGTTGTTGTACAATTTCACTAACTGTTCTTATTCATATTTTTCTTGTTTCTTTCCTTATGATTTCTGAACAAATGCAAATGTGCAAATACCTTATACCGTGCGTTATAAATTCGATGTTTGGATGTTTATTGATGTCGTTGCAATAATGGACCAACCTCCATAAAACCCCACACTGAAACCAAAACCGACCACCCACCTGAAACCCGAACACACAACAAACCGAATTCGTTACATATCTGTTGTGTATTGAAATGTTTGTTGAATGTTTTGCCTAATGCACATTGTATCGATGCGAAACGAATCGAACTGAACGCCTTGTACGAACGTATGAACTAACCGAAGGTCCCCAAATCTCTGCAGATATAATCAATGCCCAGTACACGGTGGAGACCCTGGTGATGGCCGTCCTGGCCGGTTCGATCTTCTCGCTGCTGGTCGGCTTCTTTACAGGATACTTCTGCGGCCGACGGTGCCACAAGGATGAGGACGACAATCTGCCGTATCCGGATACAGAGTACGAGTATTTTGAGCAGCGGCAAAATGTCAATAGGTGAGTACTCGTTTCTTTAAAATATTTGGAAAAAAACGTTGAAACTATCAGTTTAATATTGCTAAAATACGAAAACATATTTTGTTATTTTGTCATAACTACATGCATTCATTCCATTCATCATCATAAAGTTTTTCTTTTCCAAGTATTTTATATAAAGTACCGGGTACTCGTGGAGTAAATACAAAAAGTAGACAGAAGTGATTTTGATTTTATATAGAATACACACTTATGACTAGAATCAACAGATTAAATCATCTGCTTAAAATTAAGATTTGCGGAGCTATAATAGTAATCACTCCCACTTTCAAACCCCAAATAAAGTAACAACCCATCCATTCTATTCGTTTTTTAATACCCTCATTGTAAATTTAGTTGTCTTTAAAATGTTACATAGGCCGCTGTATTTTACAAATTTGTATTGATTTGTTTTAATATTATAAGGCTCTGTTAATTTTACAGATGAGCTAAAAATGACCTTAAGCTATGAGGCCGTAAGCCAATAACGGATAACAAATTTGATTATGTACATTATAATAGTTGGAAAATAACAGTTGTTTAACAAAATGTGAATATATTTGAAAGGAATTTAAATGTCATTGAGGGCATAGCTTGAATTAAGATATTTGATCATATTATCTATGTTAGTTGGACTAAGATCAAAATGGTATTGTTGAATTATAGAGTTAATAGCTAATTTTAATGCAGTTTCCTTAAAAAATAAGGTGCACCACAGAGCACCAAGGGGTACCTTGACCTAAAGAGTCTTAAACCGTCTTTTATGCCGCCTACCTTTTCTAAAAGTAAACAATGAGTACTAAAAGTATCTGCTTCCACCCACAGCTTCCCCTCGTCCTGCCGCATCCAGCAGGAGCCCAAGCTGCTGCCCCAGGTGGAGGAGGTGACGTATGCGGAACCGGTGCTTCTGCCCCAGCCGCCGCCGCCAAACAAGATGCACTCGCCGAAGAATACGCTGCGCAAGCCGCCGATGCACCAGATGCACCAGGGTCCCAACTCGGAGACGCTCTTCCAGTTCCAGCCCGATGGCTATAACACCCAGCAATCCTATCGCGGTCGCGACAACTTCGGAACACTGCGTTCCCACCAGGTGATGGTAAGTAGTGGAGTCTTCTGCTGAATCTTATACATAGAATGCTAATGCCACGTTTTCCATTCACAGGGCGACAATTATAGGCGCGGCGATGGCTTTTCCACCACCCGCAGCGTCAAGAAGGTGAGCTTGTCATGACATTTTTGACGATCTGGGCAGAGCAGACCCATCTATTTTTATTTTCCGACTATCGTATCGTACTACTACTACTACAACTAATCTCTAAACGTAACCATTGCGCTCTTTTCGATGTTGTTCGACATTTATTGACATTAGTTAACTAATCGAGAGTCCTCGTGCTGCGCTTGTATTTGATTGAACTCTCCTCACACAATCGTCGATTGGTGTATTTCTTAGCCTCACCTCTTCTATCTGTGTGTGTTTCTCTGTGTTCGAGTGTGTGCCATCACTCCCCTTATATGTGTTAATAAAGTATATATAGAGCACCTAGTCGCATAACTATCATATATCATAACCATAACCCATACATGTTGCTCTTATCGTTGTAGTAAATGTTGTTGTAATATTATTATTATTTTTTTCCACCCCCATTGCATGTTTAGCTTTTTACTTTAATACTACTTTAATCAACCATTATAGTTTCCCTTCTTATAAAAATACTGGAGAGAATGATTCTCGAGGGAGTTTAACATATAAAACCTTATAGTTCTAAAATTAAATTTTTTTGTAAATACGAATTTACTGGTTTCCTGCTGGCTAGGTTACCACTAATGTGTCATCAAATCATTCGTTACCTAACTCATCCCAATCACTCGTGATCAAGCGCATGTTGAAATACCATTTTAAAATCACCCCATTCCATAAGGCTTATGATTTTTGGGTTCTGTCTTAAAAACTGGCTGGAAATACACCAATCGTTCGTTGATTTAGTGGGATTGGATCTCTGCAGGCCTCGCTTTACACCTCTAACTCAGTCTAAGCATTTTGTATAGTTACAATCTAACTACTCACTCTACTTCAGCTCAAAGATAAACTCTTCCTATCAACACTAACTTTCGCTAACATCAACAAACAACACAAAAATACCGAAAAAATACCAAAAACTATCTCTATCTCTATTTCTCTATTCTTCTTCCCCTTTTTTACATCAGGTTTACCTTTGAGACGGGAGTGGGGCGGCTGAAACCAGTCAGGGACTAATTACCCAAAATATGGTAAATACTTGTTTATAACTAAGCCCATTTCAGTTTATTTATTTTACCTTATTTTAGTTTTATATCATTAGTTACTATCCCTTATTGGTTATATTTCTTTTCGGTGGGCCTTCGTTTGCTATATTTTATTAATCTGGACAATGTTTTGCTCAAAAGCTGCAATACGGAAGCTCCCTGCGCAACGAGCTGAACCGAAATTCAATAGGCAAAAAGTAATTTTCCGAAATCTCTTCGATTTTGCGCTCTTTTCGTAATTTTTGTATTTCAAATTTGGAGCACCATTGCAAATTTAGTTTTAGTTTTTTGATAGACATATTTAGGCACTGTTGCAGAAGCTTTGTTGTTTGCTATATCCTTCTCTCTTCACTCACCATTACTTTTGGTTCAACACAACACATTTTCGAATGCCAAAAAGGTTAACGATCAATCAAACAATCAATCGTTGAATCGGTCAATCAGGCCAGTCCAGCCCAGTCAGCCATCCCGCGCCCAACTCGCTTCGCAAATCGCAAATCGCCAATGCCAGCGCTTCCTTCAACCTTTGTTTGACCTCTGCGTGTGTCTGAATGTGTGTGTGTGTGCGTGTGTTGGACATGACGATATAACGCCCTCCGATTTACCCGATACCAATACCCTAAACCCACTTGAACCGCTTGAACTCTTCTGCATGGGCCCAAACTGCCAATCCCATAAACAATTTACACCAGAAAATCCTCCTAAATGTGTGCGTGTGTGTGTGTGTGTGTGCATCTAATACCATATATGATATTTAAGAAATGAATCCCGGTAATACTCAAACTACTACCCCACCATGATACATGTACTTCTTTTACTTTCGTTTCTATATGGTATATGCTATAAATATCTTTTTTTTTTGTTTATTGCTTGCCCACTTAAGACAAGAAAGTAATTGGAACATATTGCATTAACACTGAAGAAATTGAAAGCAAAAACGATTGAAATTCAAATTGCAACCAGTTCTTAGAACCACACATTTAATAAAAAACAAACTTGCAACATTTGACAGCAAAAATTGATTGCAAACGTTACTCCCTAGATTGAAGCAAATTAGCATTATACTTTCTTGTGTTTTTCGTTTCTTTCAATATTTGACATATGTAACATTTTTCAAAAATGATCTTCAATATAAAAGATGAGAAATTGATAAACACTCCAACCCCATAGGCTGTAAACAACACAAACACACGTAACAGAAGTCTTGGTCGCGCAAGAAGACAGCCGCCCCGTCATGGCATTGGTAAGTCCAACAAATAAACCTGTGTTGCATTAAGTTAGAGTTATCACTTAACTGGCCAAAAGAAAAACCCCCACGAGACACCTAAAACCCAAAAACCAGACACCCATTCTGAAAGTATCTATCTATCTATCCACTCTACCCTACTCTACTCTTCTCTGATCGTGATTTCCAATTTGAGACCCGAATGGGTTGGACAGTTCTTCGAAAGTCTCTCATTCTTTGGTTTCGACTTCTTCTAAAACTATATGTATTTTTCATATTTTATGTGCTATATATTTTCCCTTCCGTAATTGCTATTTATTTGATACGTGCATCAGTAGTTTCTATCTGTGTGTGTGTGTGTGCGAGTGTTTATGTGCATGTTGCAGCAGATTCAATGTTGTCTCCTCGAATTATATGCATTACATAGCCGTACATATGTGTGTTAGCCCAAGCATCTCGATATCGATATTGATGCAACATGCACCCAAGCACCAAAGCACCCAAGCACCCATTTCGAGTTGGATTCTCGTTAACTAATTCGTGGGTTCTCCGGCTCTTGCAGTAACTCAACACCGTTCGAATAGCCCCCAGCAGCAGCAGCAGCAGCAACAGCAACAGCAGCAGCCGCACTCCAGTTCCGGCTCCTCCCCCGTAATGTCCAACAGCAGCAGCAGTCCGGCTCCGCCATCCAGCAGTCCCAGTCCGCAGGAGAGCCCCAAGAACTGCAGCTACATCTACCGTGATTGATTGATATGCAACACCAAATCGATGCCACTCATCCAGGCCCAGTCCACGCACAACCCCCAGTCACAGCCACAGCCACAGTCACACCCCAAGTCACAGTCACAGGCAAACCCCTCCTCTGGATTGACTACGCCCCCCGTCCAGCCACGCCCTAGGAGTCCAATGATCGGCAGGACATACGCCAAATCAATGCCCGTGACTCCAGTTCAACCGCAATCTCCGGCGCTGGCGGAGACGCCCTCCTACGAGCTCTACGAACGCCACTCCCACTCCACATTCCAATTCGACGACGATGAGGATGAGGATGAGGACGACAATGACGACGACGACGAGGACCTGGAGGACACCTCATCGCTGGCCATGATCACACCGCCGCCGCCCTATGACACACCGCACTTGCTTGGATCGCCACCATTGCCGCCACCACGTCGATTTCGCTTTGGCAACCGGGAACTGTTCAGTATGAGTCCTGCCGGAGGCGGGGCCACGCCCACCCCATCGGGCAGCTCCATCAATCGCGGCAGCAGCAGCGCCATAACGCCCACCAAGCTGAGTGCCGCTGCAGCCGCCATGTTCGCCGCCCCTCAAATGGCCACCCAGCTCAACCGGAAGTGGGCCCATCTGCAGCGGCGACGGCGCAGGCGCAACAGCAGCTCCGGCGACTCCAAGGAGCTGGACAAGCTGGTCCTCCAGTCCGTCGACTGGGACGAGAACGAGATGTACTAGCCGACAAGCCGCCAATAAGTTAGCAGAAATAATTCTCTTTGAGATTGTATCCAATTTCACCTATTTTTTTAGAAATCTGAAGTAGAAAAAAACTAACTTCTGTAAAAAAGTGAAATTGTATCAGTTGGAAATTCAAAACTAAAAGGAATGTTCTCTGCGCTTATTTAGGTGTAATGTTCGTTTAATGTTAGGGAAGTAAATAGTAACTGATTTGTAAGTTGTTAACTTAGACTTCAGGGGAGCTAAAGTTTTTCATTACCTTTCTGTAAAAGCTTTTTTGTGCTTTCTTTCATAAGAAATTTATAAAAAAAATTCTATAATTATTAACGCCTTTGCATTTATACATCCAATGAAGTTTATACAAAATTCTAAAATCAAAATTTTTCAAGAAAATTAAATGAATTTTTTTGATGAATAACATTATTTAATGCCTTTGGGTGTTTTTTTTCCCCAAGGAAGATTATACTGAAATCTGAAAGGATGATATAAAAACAAATGGAATAGGTTTTTAAAATTAATAGCATATTTAAAATTTCTGAAATCCTAAATTGTTGGGAAAATGAAATACATTTATTTTTTATCAATAAAATTTTTTAATACTTTTGCGTTATTTTTTCCAAAGAAGTTTTTAAAAAATTGCAGTTATATTTTTTTAAGAAAATGTAATTGCCTTTTTGTAATACAAATTTTTTTCTTGGCATATTAATAAAAAACATTTGTTTCGAAAGAAAGTAATATAAGAAACATACGCCAAATCTATTTGAGAAATTAAAATTCCTGACTAAAATTATTTTAAAAACGAAATTCCCCCGACAAAAGTTAGTAACCTTAGAGAAGCTTACTACTTATTTCCCTAACAAGTACACAAAAGTACTCATTTTGAAGTGGCGTTAGAATATATATATAGTCGCTTATGACTCGGGCGTATTACAACCCATCCCCTTACCATTCTCCTTCCCTCAACATACAAAACATACAACTAGCAATCGAAAAATCATTAATTAGCGATAGGAACTGGATGGGGACTTACTTACACACAGAAAAAGCCAGAGAAGTTATACACGAAATTTATAGTTATATAGCCTTTATACATATTCCCAGATTTGCTAAGTATACACAAGCATAACATAACGTACGTATATATGACTCTATATATACTAATTGATTATATAGACACGGTTCAAGAGAAACGGCTACGCTAAATTAGAGCTGCAAAATGATATTGTTAATTACCATTAGCGAAAAACTCAACATTTGTAAATATTAATAATAATGATATGCAAGACGTAACGTAATCTAAGTAAACCTTATTCGAATAGTGTATACACGATATACAAGATTTTTTGCATTTAACCCAGAGAAATTAAAAATAGAAGAAATTAAAATGGCATAACAAGTGGTTAAAGAAGATGATAAAACAAAACGAAACGCTTATTACTGATTTACACAAAAGAAATGAATTACCGAAATAGTAGGAGGGCGAACAAATTAGTCTTAAGCCGTCAGAAATCGGGCATATATAAGGGGATTGCATTCGGGATTCATTCCGAACTGGAACTGCATCTGCAACTGGAACTGCCAATCGCAATACAGCGCTCCCATCGAAGTCGAATCCATCGAGTGCATTTTCCATTGTCAATTTAATTTGCAGAGCCTCAAGCTATAGTACTTCTCCAGACTCCTCTGCTTCAGTCTGCTATAGGAAAGTGTAAATTATGTACAGGACTATACGCATTATATTCAACCGATCTGTACAGAAAACAGTATGTGCGATATGTGCCATAATTGGGTATGTGCCCACCTTGAGTTTAGTTGTTATTGTTTGCATTGATTCAGAATAGTTCTTTACTGAGAACAGAACTCGCTGTCTTTGTATATATATATATATATATATACGACTATATATGCATGAAGAGGGACACACAAATTTCATGTCAAGTGATCGATCAAAATTTAGTGAAAGCATTAAAAGTAAACTTTAGCCTAGCCACATAGGGTTTGTATTATAGATTGAGCCGGAGGGCGGAACAAAACTTTTGAAAATATTTTCACTAGGGGCATTGCTAATGTTGTTCTCGTAATAGAGTATATTAGAAATAGGCTAAGCTAATCGATATTCAATATTTTGTATGAGAAACATTAAAATCATCCGATCAAACTTGGAAATTGCGTTGCAAGACGAGTAAAAAAAGCGTAGAAATATCTAAATCAAAGCAAATGTATAAACAACAAACACAACAGCAGTAGTTTAAAACAAAAAAAACCCACACAAACGTAAGCGTATATATTGATTAATTAATGCTTTTTTATGCAATTTAATGCTTTTTATATGCAATTTTACTTTTTGACAAAGTGTATACAACCGAAGGAAAGTCAACAAAAAAAACAACAATTTAAAATATAAAGGGAGTGCGATTACATTTAGACAGCCAAAGACACAAATAATTAAACAATTTTCTTTTAATTGTTTGTGCTTATTTTTAAATAGTTTTATTTGTACATATATATATTTTTAACTAATGTATACTGCTCTTAAGGAGATGTAACACAATGATTTCTGTTTCAGTTTATTTAGTTTTTAAATTGATTGTTTTTTTGTTACTCGTATAGAATACAGTGTCGCGTACTTTTGAAAGCAATACAAACAATTAAAAATGTATAAGCAAATAATAAAAACAAAGATTCAGACACATAGAGTAGCAGCAGATGGATAAATCTTAGGAATACACTAGAGTTTTGAACTAATTCTAGATCTACATCAACTACTTATACAATTGCATACAAGTATTAACTGAATCAGATCATTAACTTTTATACACTTTACCATTTACATATATACAAGCAAACGGAATGCCGATTACCGATTATTCAATATACAAGGCAAAATCTAACATGTAATTGTAATTGGAAGCCAGGCTGCAATTGAAAGGTTTTACATTAAAAATAATACCTACAGACATAAACCAGCAACAACAGTAACAAGAGCAGAAAATTCATGAATATATACTTATACATAAATATAGATGACCCATATACAAACACTAATAAGATACTTTAGAAGAGAGATTCTCTAGAAATGCTTTTAAATTTAAAAAAAAAAACAAAAACAAAAACAAAAAAAAAAAGGAACAAAAAATGAAATAATAAACAAACAAAAATAACTGATTTAAGCAAAGTATTTTATTAAAAACACTCAATAACGAAAAAGCAGAGTCAAAGGCAAAAAAAAACACAAAAAAATCTATACATTTCTTAAAACTTTCAGCAAAAGGCAAACATTTGTGAGATAAGCCAACTCAGACACTTTTTTAGAAGCGCAGAAATCGGGGTTTACGATAACGATGTTTACCACGACGTCGTTGAAAATACTTTAAAGATAATTATAAGCTAAATGAAAACGATTTTTAACTTTATCCAAGACGAAAACAGATTGTAGCGGGCGCATTCATATTTGCTAATTAGCAACTTATTAAACTATAACGAACAAACATTTAAAAATTAGAGCAGAAAGCAGGAACCCAAAAAAATAAACAAATAAAGAAATAAAGAAGAAAACAATCCATGACATGACACACCCAAGTTTTCATTTTTCATTAAAAACGATATATATTCAAGTGCTTCTTACATAAATTAAATATAAATATATATGAAACAAAAATATATAAACGATTACATGATAGTTATTATTACGAGCAGGCATTACATTATAAATACCTACTAACTAGACTAAGGCATTTACCACAAACTTGATTATTATGAACTGTATTATTATGTTTTGTGAAATCGAGCGAACTATTACAGATAAAGGAAATCAGATTACCGAGCGGATTTAGAGTAAGCGCAATAACTCTGTACGATTTACGATGTCCGATGTCCGGTTCCGTTTGGTTTTATAATTTCTAAGTAGCCAGCTCTCTATGCATATAGAATAAACACAAACACACACTGATCACACACGTAATCGATGCATTTTACTTACTTGAAGGCCATAAATGAATCAAAGTTAAGCGAGTTCATGAATTCAATTTATATAATTATGTTAAGATTTTATAACGCAACAAGCCTAACGTATGCATTACCTATATGAATACTATTATGCGAAACTTTGTAAATACTTCACCAACCAAATAAATATTCCTTCATTAAAACAAAACAAACAAAACAAGATAAGAGACCCCTTAACTGAAACGTAATGAACCGAAAGAATTTGATTTTCTCCCACACACACACAATCCCCAAGAGATGCTAATCGATTAGGAATTATCGATGCATACGAGCCACGAGTATGTTATCCATTCTTTAGCGGTTACAAATACGTAAGGATAAATTTAAATTGTTGAAAATGTAGCGCCAGAACGTAATGAGTAACAAACATAATGAAAACCCAAAAGCGAAAAACAAATATTTAACCAAATAAGTTACGAAAGTTAGACACAAAACGGTACTTCCAAGCAACTATAGAGCTAACAGCAAGCCATTTGAATGAAATAACTTAAATGCGAACTAAACTGTATGAATTGAAGTCCCGCTCCCGAAAAAGATGGTAAACGGAAAAGAACCCAAACGGTTCGTGCAAAACAGTTCCCTTTCTTCCCATTCCTCTATAGAAACCTCCTCTACATAACTCCACAAATAGGAATTCGTCAGGTTTTGGATTTGGTTCAAAGCTAGCGATTCGAAAATTAACACACACACACACAACACTCAATTGTTCACGCGAATATGTGCGGTATCATAAATCAGAACAGAACCGAACAGCACTGCATAACGAAGATCTACAGCATGAAGAAGCTATTAAAAACAACAACATGAACAACAAAAAAATTGTTAGTAAAAAGACTGAGCTACAAAATATACAAGAAAAAACATAAGAAACAAAGGAAAACAAAAGCTAGAAACAAATCAGTGAATATAACTTTGATTCCAGTGACAAATTAATTAATGTGCATTTTTGGGTAAACAAACGATTTTTGACAAACGAAAGCCAGAAGTTCGTTTTATTCATATGATTTTGATCAGTCGTAAATTTGTTGAGAAGTTCCTAACACAAAACGCAGGCAACCCCAAATATCAATCAATGATTCAATCAGTGTTAAATTGTGCACCTAGAAGGGACTTCTGCATTTATTTCTCTAGTCCACGACGGGGTCAGTTGAAGGGCAGCCGCTAAACAAATACGTAATTTGACACATTATTTTTAGGTTCGAAGTTTTGGATTTGAATTAAGAGGCTTTCTTCCTTTGGGCCACTGCCACAGCGCCACAGCATAATCGAGATTAAAATACCTAGAAAGAATATATATAAACACGTATATACATATATAGACACAAGTATATATGCATACACTTGCTTTTAGCTTTCCTAGAACTCTGATTTCCATACTTGAACGTACAGTAAGCTGCGAGTCATAGGAGATAGTCGGTCTCAGACGCGAAATAATCAAACTCAAGCTGATAGAAATGCCACGAGCCAAAGATTCGGTCCGAGACACAATTAATGCCCACACAAACCAAACGGATCGGAATAAATTCTCAAGCAAAGTCACACACAAGTTTAACACACATGGCGAAAAAGAGAAATCGATTAATGAAAACCGCATATTATTAATGATTATTATATTGTATTATTATAACTGAAATATTTAGATGAAATGACGATTCTTAATTATAACACATTATTATAGATACATACTGAACAAGCCGAAACAAAACAAGAAAATAAAAACGAAAATGCAAAATGAAACTTTAACAAAAAAACCGAAAGGGATGGAATGGAATCGAAAATGATTAATAAAGATGAAAATATAGAGAATATTATATTATGAATTTCGCCAATGCGTTTTAATCACAGTGTTTAAGTTGTCCTTAAATTTCGGCATGGGGCTTTTAATGTTTTTTAGTCAACTCTTCACTGCAGCAACCCACATTTAAATTATAAATAAAAATTGGTTTAAGGTCAAATAAAGTTAAAATCATTTTGAGACACATAATTTAGCAAGTACTAATAAGCCCTGCAATATTTATTTGCAAATATGGTGGGGGTATAAAGTAAACAAACGATGCAATTATTTTTAAATGGTCACTTATATACGTGCGCTATCTCTCCCATTAAAGTACTATATAACGAGCTCTACTTATGTTATTTGTATATATATTAACGACAAAACCTTAATCTGAGTTTTCTGATCAAGTCATTTTGCAGTTCTCCCCCGGCTTTTCTCGTCGAAAGTAATTTTTTCCTAATAAAATGCAAAACATTTTTCTAGGGTTTCTACTTAGTCTGATTTTGCAAAGATCCACAGCTACAATTTTGGCAAGTACATTTTCTTAAACTGTTATGAACAAACTATCATACAACTTACTTTTCAGCCTGATGGGGAAACTAAGGAGCCAGATTGTAGTAGCTACATTTGCGAATCAGTCAGAATGATATTGGAACATATGGTTGTTATGAATGAACGAATAAAAAAACTGGAGAGTTATACAAGCGAATTCGAAAAGTTCAAAAAAGAGTTATCAGATTTGAAAATAAATCAAAACTCCAACAATGAGAATCTTAAAATTCAGTTGGAAAATCGCACTACAGAAGTTTTAACGGAAAATACAAAAGTAAAGGAAATGGTTTATAGTTTACAGACCGATTTCACACTGCAAAAAGAGAATCTGAAGTCCCTGGCAGAAAGAACAAACGAAAGATATGAAAGTCTTGATAATAAAATCACTGCTGAACAAGCGGTTAAAACCACAGAAATAAACAAACTTTCGATGAGAATCGATGCAGTGGATACACAGTTCGCAGGACAAAAAGAAAATATTGATATCATTCAGAAAGAAATGAATAAAAAACTAAACAAAAACGACGGACTACATTACTTGGAAGATCTGACAACTAAACAAGTAAATGTGGAGAAAGCTATCCAAAAAATCAATGAAACCATCAGAAATGTAGCATTTAAAAAAATTGGATCCAAAGCATATTACATAGAGGAAACCCAAGAGCGGAATTGGAATGACTCTCGGGCATTCTGTCTCGATTTGGGGGGGCACTTATTTAGTCCGCAAAGTCAGTTGGAGTTGGATACTCTTGGTAAGGAATTAAAGAATGAATTATACTGGACAGACATCCAAGATTTTTCCAAAGAAGGCGAGTTCATATCAGACACAACTGGCCGGAAACCAAAGTTCCTAAGTTGGCGGCAAAATCCGGATGATTGGAATGGCGAAGATTGTGTTGAGATAGGGCTATCAAGAAGTTGGGGCATGAACGATAACGGTTGTTCGACACTTTTAAACTTTGTTTGTGAAAGACAAACTTTATAATTTTTAGGTTTTAAATAAAACCACAAGATAAGAATTGATGGAAATTACAAAATATTAAAGAAAACATTTATAAACCTTACTAAAACTTGTTTTCTTTTAACCGGTAGATGTCAAAAGCAGCTACACCTTTATGACATTTTAAGATCAAAACTTAATATATGCCAATATAAGATAACTAAAATTGTTTTTGTATATATAAACGTTGCAATGAAAAAAAAGAATAAAACCCTAGTAAGCCCGATGTTGTTATACCCCTGTCGAATAAACATTAATATTGATGACATTTTAAGACCAAAACTTAATATATGCCAATATAAGATAACTAAAATTGTTTTTGTATATATAAACGTTGCAATAAAAAAAAAGAATAAAACCCTAGTAAGCCCGATGTTGTTATACCCCTGTCGAATAAACATTAATTTTGATGCTTATATATAAAAAATCCAAAGGTTAAGTCGATTATCCATTGTTGATATATTATTTTTTATATTTATGTCAGTCGTTTTTTCTTTTGATTAAACATAGTTTTTTAAAACGTAAAATTTAAATTTTATTAAAAACAATGAAGCTCTTTGTTTTAAATTGCATACTTCCAAATTTTGTCTTTCACTTTGCAAACATCTGACTGAAATTTTATATTTTCAGCAAAATAAGAAAAAATTGCTAGCAAACTGTTTCATAACAATTGTGAATTCGAGTTCCATGGACATGTACATTGGATTGTATTTAATTTAACATTTCATTAGCGCAATGGCGAAACACGCTTCGACAACAAGAGAAGCTAAGCCAGGAGATAAGCTTTAATCGGTCGGTGGCGCGCGGATGAGATAAGGTCCGTCGGGACAAGCTTAGCTACAGAACAAAGAACCAGGGCGAATCAGACAAATTAATATATTAGGGTGCTTCTTTAAAATATTAATACGATTTTTTGTTTTGTATTATTTTTTAACTGCTTCAATGGCCAACATATTTTGATGGGGCCTTACAACTCATAAGAAACCTTTATGCCGCCACTGCATAAAAAGTATTTTAAAGAAACGGATATAGGTCAGTTATCACTTGGAAGTAGTAATATATATCAATTCGTTTATTCTTTTCTATTAAGCTTAATTTTAAACCTTATTTAAAAGCTTGTCGTTCTCTATTAGGGTTTAGTAAATGCAAAATTAAATTAAACTTATAAAATTAACTTAATAGTTTTGGAGGTAGGACATAGAGGTAAAAAAAAAGAAAATCTAGATTAAGATCGAATGCGATAAGTAAATTACATTGGTGCGGTTTTAAATATCATTTTAAATTAAGCTCATATTTAAATAGGAATATTTTACTGAAGTTATTAGAAACATTAATGAAGGTGAAATTAATGTGCTAAATTAAAAAGCAAGCACAATAAAATGCAGAAAATATTGTTCTTCTTGTTAAAAAACAAATCATAAGATATTTGTTAAAAAAAAAACACGAAAACATAAATGGTACCCCTGATGTTTCTTGGTGCGTTTCTCTTCATTTGAGTTCGAATGTCGTTTCAAGTCAACCTCGCGGATCACAAGCCCAAGGCTGCTTGGGTTGGAGCATTATCTCCTCCGAGCTTTTCAGGCCGTCGAATCCGACTCGGAAATCAGTTCCCGTTTGAACGCGACGCAGCGAGCAACATGCAGCCGTTGCTCCTAGTGCTGGCCCTTTGTGTGGCCCAAATCTGTGCCCTCTCTTTGAGGCCCCGACCCAACTTTAGCGATGACTTCGATGGGGAAGACACCGGACTGCCGTGGCAACCGGAGCCCCTGAAACCAGCTCCCTGGCAGGCGGAGCGCCAAGTTCAAGACACCCAGGCCCCCAGAGCTGAGGTTCAAGTGCCCGGAATCGGACAGGTCGTGGGAATTGGTGGCTACCGGACTATAGCCAATCGTCCGATCAACGCCTTTCTGGGTCTGCGTTACGGCCAAGTGGGAGGCGGTCTGGCCCGCTTCCAGGCTGCCCGACCGGCCGGCTTTCAGGGCAGGATTACCGCCACTGCCCAGAGTCCAAATTGCGCCCAGTTTCCGGAACTTGACCGCCTGAGGAGTGCGGAATCGCGTGGCGAGAATGTGGACGACTGCCTCACCCTGGACATCTACGCACCCGAGGGTGCCAATCAGCTGCCCGTGTTGGTCTTCGTCCACGGTGAAATGCTGTTCGACGGCGGATCCGAGGAGGCCCAGCCGGAGTACATCCTGGAGAGGGATGTGCTGCTGGTCTCCATCAACTACCGATTGGCTCCCTTCGGCTTTTTGAGCGCCCTGAGCGACGAGCTGCCCGGAAATGTGGCTCTTTCGGATCTGCACTTGGCCCTGGAGTGGCTGCAGAAGAATCTGGTCTACTTTGGCGGCAATCCTGCACAGGTGACCCTGGTGGGCCAGGCGGGCGGAGCCACCTTGGCCCACGCCCTGAGCCTCAGCGGTCGTGCCAAAGGTCTCTTTCAGCAATTGATCCTGCAGTCGGGCACCGCTTTGAACCCCTATCTGATTGATGAGCAGCCACTTGCCACCCTGGACACTTTCGCCCGTCTGGCCCGCTGCCCCCCGGCCACGCCCTCTCCGCGTCTCCGCCTACAACCACTGTATGACTGCCTCGCCCGACTGCCCACCTCCCAGCTGGTGGCCGCCTTCGAGCAATTGCTGCTGCAGAACGAGCAGTTCGGATTGACCCACCTTGGCGGCTTTAAGCTGGTGGTCGGCGATCCCCTGGGATACCTGCCACGCCCCCCAGCCCAACTGGCCGCCAATGCCAGCAACGCCCTGCCCATGATTATCGGCGCCACCAAGGATGCCAGCGCATTCATCGTGTCGCGTGAGTACCAAAAATTCAGTAAAACTCTATAGACTAATAGAGAAAAATAAGGAATACAATTTTTGAAAACAAAAAACATTTAAAACAAAAAATACATATTCAGGATTTAAGACTTATTAATAGATTTCGTACCCAAAAATTGATGGTAAACACTACAAGTTCAACACATTTTTTCCCCCAAAAATGGCTTACTTTACGATTTTCAAAAAATTAAATTAAAAATTTTTTTTATGTATATATTATATTTCATATAATTCTACCTGCCCAGCTTAAAATTTTCACTTCGCTCAATTTTGAGGCTTTATTTATGTAATAATTAATAAGTTTGTTTGCCTTAAAAAATATATACCAAAGCGTAAGGACATTCCTAGACTTTTTAGAACGTTCTGACTCTCTGAAAAATCATGACAACAACTATTTGAGTTCAAACCACTATTTGATTCAAGTATGAGAATCCGAAATATAACATTAATGTTGCGGTCCATGTCCATGTAGGAAGCTAATCTGGTTGGAATGGTACTGTTCGGACGCAGTTGGTGATAAGATGCTGGACTCGAGGTCAGACTGATTAGGCCCAATGCAATTGGACAGCTAAATCAGGTTCCATTTATGTTGAGAGGAATTAATATAATTGGTTTCAAGGGCGACTGATTTGTGTGCTATTTTCGCCGGCAGGCAGGAAATGATTTCGTATCATTGAATTGTTTTTAATCTTGCTCGGATTCAGTATTTTCTTTAAAACTAGCTATGTCAGGCTATATTTGACCTACATTTTCAATGGTTCAGGAGTTCAAACGGGCAGACTGTCCAAATTGGCTAAAGCGGCTAAGCTGTTGATGCGGGTTAAAAAAGTTATACTTTTCATAGAGTTAGAAAAGCTTTCCAAATTAAAGTTCTATTTCTACTAAATACATATTCGTTGAAGATTATTATCGTATGCGTAACACGTAAATTGTTTTTTTTTTAATTTTAAAGAATTGTGTCAAAGTAAAGTCAAATGTAACTTTATTTTAAATTGTGACAGAACTATTCTCAATTTGATATAATTTAAAGATATAATTTAAAGACACAACAATATGAAACTTTTATTTTTAAAACGTTTCCTCAAACTTTTTTCTGTTTATCAAATGGCAGGAATCTAACAAATAACACAATAGATATATGCAATAAATTTTAAATTATTTTATTGTAAAACTGTTTTTAGGTTTAACCTTTTTAGAGAGCTTTTGCCTTTAATTATTATGGGAAATTATTAATTGATCTGTAACTAAAATTTGTGGGAAAAACAGATACTTATTAGAAATGTAACAAGATATATCTTATCGATCGAGTAAACTTTCAAAGAGATTTACTCTGGAATTCTTTAGGAATGGTTACATTTTAAGTTATTTTAATGAAAATGTTGTTTAGAAGCGTCGCTGAATGTGTATTAGAAACAGCTCCAGCCGGTTTGAAATATTTGTTTATTGTTTATTATTTACAAAACACATTAAAATTCTTGTTTTTTCAATCAATTGACTAAACATTTTCATACTCTTTTCGATTTCCAGGCACCTACGACCAGATCGCCCATCTTCAGTCCCAGAATGTGAGTGACTACATCGACGTGGTGCTGCGTCATACAGCGCCGCCCAGCGAGCACAAAATGTGGAGGCAGTTCGCACTGCGCGAGCTCTTCAAGCCGGACCACGAGCGTACGGCTAGTCCGGAGTCCGTGGCCCAGGGCCTGCTGGAGCTGAGCAACTACATCTTGTACCGCGCACCCGTGATTAATACCATCCGTCAATCGTACCGTTCTACGCCGGCCTACCTGTACCTGTTCGATTACCGTGGGGAGCACCATCGGTTCTTCCACCTGTCTAACCCACTTCCTTTCGGGGTGGATGCCTCTCTCAGCGATGACAGCGTGTACTTGTTTCCCTATCCGCCGGAGTCCAGCAGCCTGAATCCATTGGACAGGTCGCTGTCCCGCGCCCTGGTCACCATGTGGGTGGACTTTGCTGTTACGGGCGTGCCCAATCACAATTCCGGAGTATGGCCACGGGCTACCTCTGAGTATGGTCCCTCCCTGCGCTTCACCAAGTCCCGCGAGAATCCTCTCGAAGTGGACCCGCACTTTGGCGAAGGTATTAACTTGCCCAATCCCAGCGGGCAGAGTTTTAAGCCAACCATCAACAATGCATATCCCAACCCTACAACGACAACCACGACCACAACCACAACTACAACCACCAGCCGCCCGTACGCTTACAACCCATATGCCAATTGGCAGAACAGGCCAAGCCAACAGCAACCGTCTTGGAATCCTGCGGATCCGGAATATGTCAGGGCTCAGGAAGCCAAGCAGCAGCAGTTTATCCGCGATCGAGAACAGCGTTGGCGAGAGCAGCAGCAGCGAAATAATCGGCGCCGCCCACAACACGAGACTCGCGAAGATTTAGGACGAGATTATGAGCAGCGTGTCCAACAGCAAATGGAGCAAGAAGAGCGACTGCGACAGCACGAGGAGCGAGTGCGACAGCAGCGAGAGCAAGAAGAGCGATTGCGTCAGCAGCAAGAACGAGAGCAACAAGAACGTGAACAGCAAGAACGAGAGCAACAAGAACGTGAGCAGCAAGAACGAGAGCAACGGGAACGAGAACAACAAGAACGACATCTGCAAGAACGATACGAACCACATCCCGAGGATAGTCCAGAAAATCACCCATGGGGCGGATATCCCTCTTACGAAGAAGAAGAACAGCCCCGAGAGCAAGAGCGAGATCAGCAAGAGCGAGATCAGCAAGAGCGAGAGCAGCAAGAGCGAGAGCAACAAGAACGTGAGCAACAGGAACGTGAGCAACAGGAACGTGAGCAACAGGAACGCGATCAAGAGCCACAAGAACCCGAAGAATCCGACAATGTTCCAACAGATAATCGGGCACCTTATCATTCATATGACGAATATAGTCAAGAAAACCATGAAAATCCTTCCGAACCTGAACCCGACCGTAACTACAACGAGGAGCAGGAACGCGAAGAACAACAGCGAGAGCAACTGCGTCGAGAGCAGCAGGAACGCGAGGAACAACAGCGGGAGCAACTGCGTCGAGAGCAGCAAGAACGGGATTACCAGTCTCAGCCAAGTGATCGGCCTGAAGACTACCCAAGCTATGAGGACTACCTGAAGGCCCACCAAGCACGAAATTCAGAACGTGATCGTTACTATGCCGAAGAGCAGGAACGCGAGCGACAGCGACAAGAGCAATTGCACCAAGAGAGGCACCAGCAACCGGAAGAAAATCTGCCAGATGAACGTCAGCCCTATCCCAGCTACGAATCAAACGATTCCGATCGCAACTATGCCGAAGAACAGGATCGCGAGCAACAGCGAACAGATCAGGTGGATGAGGAACAACAGGTTGGCGAGGATCAAGGAGATAATCGCACTGACGAGGAGAACGAAGGCGCAGCAGACCCGGGAGCTCTCAATGTCGAGGACTTTCCGAGCTATGAGGCATACCTCGAGGCCGCAATGAAGCAACAACAGGATCGGGAGGAACAGGAGCGGTTAGAGGAGGACCGTGCTAGGGCCCAGGAAGAGGAGGAGGACCGTGTTAGGGCTCAACAGGAAGAGGAGGAGCGTCATCGGGCCCAATAGAATAGGCAACACTCTTCAAGATTATTGGCAACTGAAGACCTTGATCACTTTAAGCTCCTGCACAGGCAGCAGTAGAAGATACCACCTTGCTAAATATTCTTTATATTTTAAAAAATAACATAAAAATGTTACAAAATACAAATTGTAAAATGTTAAAAACTTAGTTTCAATTCATTGTATGTTTTCTTACCTTTTTTTTGGCGACAAGCTCACAGCCCATATATGCAACTGATACGCCAATTTGTTGATTTTAAGAACTTGAGTTTCGAAGGTTTTAAAATCGTTATTAAATACTTAATACTTGGTCAGAATGGCTAGCGAGTGAAGTATATATATATATATATATTTTACAACGCCAACTTAAGGGCTTGGTTGTGAATTAAGAAACTGGTTACGATCTTATGGCAAGTCCTTCATGTTTTGAGCCCAATTTTGTGTTTTGCTAGTTCTTTGTAAGTCACTTTGCTGCATAAATTACAAACTAAATGCATTATTAAGCCTTATATTTAAGAATGAAAAAACCATTTCCGCCACTCTAAAACAAGCCACGTTTTAACTGCAAATGAGAAAGAAAAAACTGCGTTTTTATACCCTTGCAGAAGATTGCAACGCAGTGAAGGAGACATTTCCGACCCTATAAAGAATATATATATTTTTGATCAGCAGCACTAGGAGAGTCGATCTTGCCATGTCCGTATGTGCGTCCGTCTGTCCGTCCGTCTGTCTGTCCGTCCGTCTGTCCGTCCATTTCCACGCAAACTAGTCTCTCATCTTTAAAGATATCTGCATAACACTTTCCCAAAAGTTGTCTTTTTATTGCAGGTAGTACATAAGTCGGATGGAGCCAGATCGAACGACTATAGCATAGGAACAATCGGAAAAATAAATGAAAAAATTATTATAAGTCTATAATTTCATCAAAAACGGACGACTTCAACATTAAAGCTCCCATGGCAATGACTGCAAGGGTATACGAACTTCGGGTTTCCGAAGTTTGCTTCCTTTCTTGTTTTAACATTATAATTTATCAGTTTATAACGCCCGTTTTTGGAGGGCTAAAGTTTTTGAATAAATAATTTTTGTATAATTGTGTCTTTACGTTCTACAAGTTTTATATCTATGGTACTCAAAAACGTATCTTATTGCGGTTTGGACGCTTCACCAGGCTCTTGCGTCCGGCGAGCTTCTTTGCCCTGCTGGCGTTGGAGGCAGCCAGCTGCTTCCGGCGTTTATTCTGTGCCCGCTTCCGGCTACGGCTCCGCAGGTAGTAGATCTCCCGGATCAGACTATGACCCTGCTCCTCGTCGTGCAGTGTGGCCGAGAACTCGCTGAAGAAGTCACCACCGATAGTCAGCGTCTCGTCGATCTTCAAATACGGTCCAAATAGCGTGGTCATCGGCGGCCAGTAGCCGGTGCGGTACGATCCAAACGGATTGCCGCTGATCACGAAGTTGGTCCAAAGCTCCACCATCCGGTGGGCCATCGTCATGTCCGGCGGACTAAGACGCTGTACGTGATCGGGGTAGGGGAACAGGTAGAGGGCCTCGTCGGTCAGCGAAACGCCCGCCTTAAAGGGGCTCTGCATGTTGGTCTCCTCGTCCATTTCCTTGTAGCGATTGAACTCGCCCGCGTAGTCAAACGAGTAGAGGAACGTGTTGTGCGGATTGTGTTTGTTGTTCATGTTCAGGGCCAGCACAACCGGCAGCTTGTGGTTCAGCGTGCCAGCCACCTGGATAAAAAAATCGGTTAAAAAATTAAAGATTTTGATAGTTATTGGCAAAAAACAGTTTTCACGAATTTGTAGTTATTAATATAGTGGTATTGTCTTATTTTAAGCAATTTTGATGTTTTAGAAAATAAAAATAAATTAAGTAGTTAACTTTTCCAATTTTAAATATGGAACTCAATATAGCATATAAGCAATATAACCATTTTGAAATTGTAAACATATATGGGTGAAACACATTATTAGGAAAAATTTTAAATTCTCCCAAAAGTAAAAAGAATACGATTTTCTACTTGGCAGCTAAACTATCTCTATAATTCTATTAATTCTAAACTCATTCAACCGATTTTGGTTGATTCACTTACATCAATGAGCCTGGGGATCAGTGTGTCGAAGGTACCGTTTTCCAGCAGGTGGCGATCGAAGAAATCGTGGGTTATAAAGCTGGTGAGGAGCATGGTTCTGTCCGTGCCCACCACCTGGCGGATCACGTGATCGATGTAGTTGTACGGAGAGTACTCGTCATCCGGAATCTTTCCCTCGAAGTCATTGTCAACGATCTCGTTGAGCACCCGAGTTCCGGCATTCTTTGGACAGCCGCCCATTGCCGGATACGAGAAGTTGGACTCCAGCATAAGGTCGTACGGATGTTTGGGGAGCACTCCACTGGGTCCGCCAATGGTGAACTGGATGCCACCGGTATGTCCAATTCCGAGGTCAGATTTCTCCAGCTATAATATGGATTTATCAGTTTAAAAAATTTTGAAAAGTTTAAACCTATTTTATTCCAGTGCACGCCACTGTCATTTAATAATACAAATTAAAAATGTTTTTAATCGACCTTAAACTGTTGGTCGATTTACGAAAATAATTTTTAAACATGAAAACAATAAGCCGGTATTGTTCTATAAATTGCTAAGAATCGGTATGTTTTATTGTTACTATATAGTCAAACTATTGAATGAATCTGTATATATATTAACTTAATGGCTTGTAACTTTTGGCGCCGAAACTTTAAACGCATAGTAAATTTAAAATTTAACCTCTGTTAACCCTAATAATTTTATTTCAACATACTACTTACCGCATGCTCCATGAAGGCAGTGAGCAATTCGAGGGCCGTGAGCTCCATGAGACAGGTGTTCAAATCTCTCACAGTCACCATTTGACAGTCCGCCTTCTTGGCGATCTCCTGGGCATGCTTGCGGGGATTTTCCTCCAGGAAGATGGGCATGATGGCCGATCCCGAGTGGTAGATCACCTGGCTGAACAAGCCGCGCTGGACCATGGGCGACAGAGTGAGCAAGTGGGCAATGGCCGCTCCACCCACCTGGCCGGCCACCGTGACCCGCGAGGGATCACCGCCGAAGTATTTGATGAAGTGCTTTATGAACTGCAGGGCCAAGAAAATGTCCAGGAAGCCGGCATTGCCGGGAATCTCGTCCGTCTTCGTGGACAGGAAGCCAAAGGGACCGAGGCGGTACTGCGGCGTAACTAAAACCACGTCCTTCTCGAGCAGATAGTCTGGAGGAGCCTCCGAGTTGCTGCCCTCGTACAAGTACTCGCCGTGGATGTAAACCAGAACCGGCAGCCTTGCGGTCACATTCGGAGTGGTGATGGTCATGGTCAGACAGTCCTCAACGTCCAGCACGTCATCCAGTTTCCGGAGCGAGTCCATCGAAACCACCGACGGGCAACCAATCTTCTCCGCTGTGGCATCCATCACATCCTCCCACGGCTCAATCGGTCTGGGTGCCTGTAAAATAAGAATAAACAAGCACATAAGCAATGAATTTTTAAATATAATATATATTATACAGAAATACACACATATAAGCTAAGGCACTTCATTGATATACAGTTTTCTATAATAGAGATTAAATTTTTTTTTATGTTACCGCTAATCACTATTCGTCATTTCTTCATGTCTCTTTTGCTATTTTGAAAACAAAAAGTATACTTCATAAATTAGACAGCTAATACAATAATCAAAAGTATTGTAGATCGAATAGAACTTGGGATATTCAGCCTAATTTAAGTTGATGAAACTAATTTGTTTTTGTACTCTTTATTTGAATTAGTTTATAAAAAAATTAAACCTTACAAATCATATATAAAAAACCTTTAATATAATTTTGAATTTAACAACAATTTATTTTAATCATGCATAAAAAAATTAAGTTAAAAACCAAGCCTTTACGAACAAACACTTTTTTTACTTAAATTAAATCCGTCAAAACGTATATCCATGTCCAGTGTATTTCAACATATTTTAAGTTTAAACATATAATTTCGTAAATGACTCATAGCTATCAACTAATCTAATAAAATGCGGTTATTAAAATGTTTTACGAGTCTGATTGGATTAGAACTGCAGAAAGAGACATCACACCAATTTGACAAACGTGGTATCAAATCCTCGATAGTATAGTGGTTAGTATCCCCGCCTGTCACGCGGGAGACCGGGGTTCAATTCCCCGTCGGGGAGGTTAGAGAATTTTTTTTTATACTTCGCTTTTTGCTTTCTTAGAAAGTTTTCTGATTCATTGTTTATTGCCTCTGCAGACATTTACATAATTTTGAAAGTTTTAAAATTGGTGAAACCACACTCCCAATAAAGTTAAACATTTTTATTTGGAGTTCTTGGCTAGACTCGTTTGTGGTTGCCTTGTTTTGCATACCGACGATTTTATTTTTTTGCATACATTCCATATCTTTATAACTTTTGTTCTGATGACACACTTAAAGCTTCTGTTCAAACAGTTTTCCGTTTTTAAATAATATGAGTAAAATATATGCGAATTTAACTAATATCGTTGTGTAACTTTTGTACCTTAAACCGATGCAGTCCCGTTGGAGGCTCTGCGTATCTAACATCGACAAACTGCAGCACTTCGCGTTTTGTCCAGGCGGTTTCGAGAATTTTTCCCTGGATGCTGCCCAAATTGGGCAGTTCGACAATGGTGTCTTTCTCCTCATCGTACTGCCTGCCACGAACTCTGGATTCCACCCCGGACTGCAGGACTAGTAACAGGGACACTATTAGCCAGCACGCGAGCTGCATTTTTCGAGAACACCGCGCTGATAGAAACCAACACTCCCTTTAGCGCACCGAACGCAACTGATCTGTGACCAGACGGGACCAATAGATTTTAGTCCGCTCTGACCCGAAGTTTCACCCCACATCTGACCGAAATAGCCAAATGAAGAGTTCGCAAACGGAAACTGGCTAAAACAAAACGCGAAATAAACTGCAAATGCTGCGGCGTCCCCGAGGCTCGAGACACAGATTTATGCTAATAGATACACACAGAGAAACAAATATTATTAAAAAAAAAAGATATGTGCCCAATCTGAAAATTAATAAATGCATGTGTATATCATTGTGTTTTAAATGATAAATCAGAAATTCATTAAAATCATTAAATTTGTATATTTTAAAAGCAATACTTTTTGTTTAAAAACGAGAAATTTTTATATCCTCCAATATCATTGGCCTGTAATAAATCCTAAAACTTACACCATCCCAATTAAAAGCCCTTAAAAATATTTAATATTTTCTCCGAGTGCAAGAACAGATTTCGCTGCTCCGGTTTAAGCTGCTCGGTTGATCATCTCCAAGTAAAAGCGAAAACTTAAAGAGCAGGCGAACTTAATTTGTCCGATAGTCAGCCATTAGCCACTCAGATTGATGCGAATATTTACCGGCAAACATGGGACATTGGCCATTAACTTGGTTTGTCTTTCTCACGACGATGAAAGTGCGGGTAGCGCCAGACAAAATTAATTTCCTGAGATATGCGGGAATTGATTTAAATTTTAAATTTTACCTAATTGATTCCAGAAATTCTCCTCGCTACTGGTATTCACAGTAAGAGGCAAAATATCAATCATCATCATCGCGAGCTGCCGGAGAAAGCATTCGTAACGCTTCAGTGCCAAAAAAGAACAACGACTTCTAACTAATCGCACGAGATAATTCCATTATTTGACTATACTTAACCATTGACAAACTTGGGAAACCCCACTATATAAGGAAGCTAGAAAGCGAACAGGTAAAACTTTTCTCTTTATGATTTTTTATTAAAAAGCTCAAATTCAAAAGAATATTAGTTCTATTGAAATAAGTTATAAATATCTTTAACTTTCCTTTATCATTTTTATATTCTTTTAAACATTTTCAATAACTTTAAGAAAAACCTATGAACATTACTGATGAAAAGAACTTTATTAGGCATTGCAAAGTATTAAGTTAATCAAAGCAGGCCGAAAATTTTCTAAGGCTTCTTCCCATTATTGTCTGTTAATAATTAATCCGTAAAACGAATGAGCTGTCACGCTTAATTTGAACTTTATTATATTCTTTAATAAATTTTAATTTAAATTTTGCTCGCAGCCAAAAGTCTTTTGTTAAGTTGGCTTTTGAACAGCCAAAACATGATTTATGGGCCCGATAAAGAAAGCAAATTCTTAACCTATGTTTTGAGCACTTTTTTAGATCAAGAAGATTCGCCGCGGTTAATTGCTTTTTCACAGTTACTCTTACGATCATCTAGTAATCAACATGTTCGCAATATTAGGTATTAATGATTATATAAAATTGTTCACCTTAAATGTCTATAGATTGGCAATGTCTGAACTTCAAGGGACATCAGTTAATATTCATTGTTAATTAAATTAGTTAGTTTCTTAGTTAGTTTCTTTAAAAATACACAGTTGTTTTTGCTAAGATTGTAACCCTTGAACCATAATTTAAATGGCGAATTTAAAACGTAAACTTACATATATATAAACCCATTGTTTATTGTTGATGTTTGTTGTTTGTTTTAAATTAGTATTACGAAACCCGGTTGATATAAAAATAGTGCTCATTTTGTTTTCAGAAATATATTAAAGAAGTTATTTGTTTAAATAAGTAGTGGGAAAAAGTAGATCGAATGAGTCGGGGGTTCTACTGCTTCTGAGTGCGCGTCGACTTCCTGGCAATAAAGACCAAGTTCTGGCCTCGAGCCTCGTTGGCAGCCCGCTCGGCCTCGCCCTCGAAGTCATCCTGGTCCTCCTCCTCGTTGGAGGCGGGGAGGCTGTCCTGCTTACTGGCCGCCAGCAGAGCCGACTCCAGATCGTAGTAGTCCTCGTTGACAAGGCTGTAACCCTGCTTCACCTCCTCGACGGCGATGCGGTATTCGTCCAGGTAATTGTCCCCGAAGCTGACAGTGCGACCGATCCGCATGTAAGGGCCTGTCTCGTCACTCATTGTCGGCCATTTGGGAAGGCCAGGAGCACTTGGAACTCCCGTCGACGCAAAGGATGTCCACAGGGCCACCATGCGTCTGGCCACCTTGAGGTCGCGGTTCGAGTTCAGAGCCAGGAATCGGGGCCACGGGAACAGGTACAGGTTGTCGTCGGTCAGAGAGACTCCCATGTCAAAGGGCACAAAGCTGGCCTCGTCATCACCTGTGGCATAGCGATTCTGCTCGCCCTCGTAGTCAAAGCTGTATAGGTAGGTACTGTTGGGCAGCTTCTTTGCGTTGGCCTGCATCACCAGCAGCACGGGATTCTTCAGAGAAATTGTACTGCAAAGCTGCATGAAAATTTTAAATCGATTAGTATATAAATCTATGTCTTACAAAAACCTCTTGCTAAAAATGTGGCAGTACTAAAAGTTTATGTGAAACTATTTAAAACTGCTATAATAAAAGATTATTATTTACAACTTTTACAATCAGCCAAATTGATCATATATTAATAAATCATTCATGGAAATGATTTTTATTAAAGTTTAATGCTGTTACTTTTCTTACAGATACCCCTTTCTGAATAGTCATTACATTAGGGGTTTATAGTCTTATATTTTTAAAAATCTGGTTTTTATTTTTGGTTTAAAATTTAAGACCGATTTTCTAGAAATTTTAAAAGTGTAACCCCTTTCTATTTTTTCAAAAAAAAAAGAAAGAAAAGCGACCTAAGACCAGGACTTCTAGGGCCCAAACTTTTCTTACAGATATCTGAATTTGAAAAGGCATTTAAAGGTTTGTGGCTTAAAGACTCAATGTCAAATAGTATTACACTAGCAAGCTAAAGAATACAAATTTCTGGTTTTAGGTACTGTGAAAATCCAGAATACTTACGTCGATCAGACCTGGGGTCAAGCGTTTGAAGCTGCCGTTTTTAACATCGGAATCGGTAAAGATTTCCTCATCGGAGAACTCTTTCCAGGATCCACTGGGATCTGCGCCATTAGCCTGTTCAATAATGGTATCGATATACTGTCGACCAGACATTTTGTCGTCCAAAATCGTTTCGTTAAAGATATCAGCGAATATATCTGCAATGAAGAATTAGCAATTAAAGATTTAACAATTTTTATTTTTGCACACAAATTTATTCTTTATGTGCAGATCGGTTTCAATATTACTTTAAAAAGCCCATATATTTTTGTATAATTTTTTAAATCTTTACTTTTAAATGATCAACTCACCTCTCAGCATGAAGGTTCCGCCGTGTTTGACGCTGCCGCCCATAGTGGGATAGGCCCGGAACTTTTCGGCGGCCAGCAGGCGACCGGGATGCTCGGGCAGAATACCGGACGGACCGCCGATCACAAGCTGTACTCCACCGTAGGCTCCGCCCGACAGCGAGGGCTGATCCTCGCCGTGGACGCTGAATGCGGCCAGGAGCATGGTTGCATTCAGGCGGGTCAGGCACTTGTTCAGCTGGTCAGCCTTAGTGGTCTGCTTGCATCCGGCAATCTTGCCGATGGCCTTTGTGGAGCCCAAAGGAGCATCCGTGATGAAGGCGGGCGACAGGGCAGTGCCCGACTGATAGATGACACGATGGAAGAGACCAGTCGGAACTGCCGGACTCAAGGTGAGCACGTTGACCAGAGCTGCTCCGCCCACCTGGCCGAACAGCGTCACTCGCTGCGGATCGCCGCCAAAGGATGCGATGTGCTTCTGCACCCACTTGAGCGCCAGGATAATGTCGGTCACCGCCGCATTGCCGGGCATCTCGTCCGTAAGCGTGGACAGGAAGCCAAAGGGACCCAGGCGGTAGCGCACGGACACCAGGACCACATCCTGCTCCAGTAAATATCCGGGAGCTGCCTCCACCGAGTCACCGTCGTAGAAGAAGTCGCCGTGGATGTACACCATCACCGGCAGGGACTGGCCCTCCATCTAAAAGAAATCGGGAACTTTCTTAGCAACGATGACAAATATAAACCAAGTGAAAAAATGTGCTTTAGAGTCCCTTTCAGTGCTCAGCATGTTTAAAAAATGTTAAAAAATATTTTTTTAATTTCTTTTGGCAAGCTTCAGCTAAAAATGTGACTTTAAATAAAACTGTTTTTAACCTTTCCGTTATTATCATATTACCAAATCAAAAGAAAAAATTACAAATAAATTACAAATAGTTACTGAGGTTAAAACTTTCAGTTATTGAGTAAATTATTTTCATTATTAACCTCTTTAAAAGAGATTTTCTTTCTTTTTATTTTACTTAGTGTAAATGCTTCTTAAGCCCTGGGGTACATAAAACTTCAGCCTTTGTTTATTTATAAATTAACATATGTATATATATACATACCGCCTTGGTATTTACGGTAAGACGCAAACAGTCCTCGACATCGAAGCCTTCCTCTTCCAGCTTGGCAAACACAAGCAGATCCTGTATGGATGGACAGCCGGCGTGGGGACGATGAGCAGGAAGAACTCCCCTCCAGGATGGTGCAGGTTCAGCTGGCTGTATAAAACAAGAGTCCAGAATTAGCAATCAATTATATTTTTAAAACAATTACCTTTTTAAAATATAATACAATTTTTTTGAATGGCATATTAGCAAAAATTAAATATATGTAAACACTATATAAAAATGTATCGAAATAAATTATTTTTTAGCAAACACTAGTAAGTCCTAATTTTGAACTTTCTAAATAACAGAGTGTAAATAAATAAAAATAGCTAATTTAAATGTTTATTTAATGAATAAATTAACTGTCCAGCGCATAATTTATATATTGGTAGATTTGTGTGATAACCCAATAAGATTTATGCATATAAAAATCTA